CTTGTGTATGGCTTTGTTCACGGACTGGGCCTGCACCTTCAACTGTGACTCTTGACTAATCTCAAAATACAAAATAATGACAGCAAAAGAGGCTCGAATACAGAGTAGAACACATTCCTGTGACTACAAATGCCAGTCAAACCCTAATCCAACACCTATGGTTGGTTATTCAGCAGTTTTCCTAAGACACATAAGACATTACAAATACAGTGATGTGCTTTCTATCCTGGTATAAGCGAGAGCCCCAGGTATGCCATGACAAATGACACATTGATATGAATTTTAGCAGTCTCTGTCATATTGTGTGCAAGAGCAAAGTGAAGCCTATAACTACATTCTATCTCTTCAGGAACATCTTCTAGCAAAGGAACCACGTCAAGTGACTAGGTCTTCATTGTACCAGTTAAGCCCCAAATAATTTTATGAATCACATAAGACGTCATAGAAATCTCTCCAACATTGGTCTTCTTGGCCCAAAGCAAAAATGTCTCAGCAGCCAAATACCATGCTAGGGTTATACACACAATAGAAATAAATGAAAATGATTATTTTGTGGATAAGAGAGAAAAAAACCCTCATAAGTCCAAGTACCATCATTTCAACACATTGTTTTATCTACACAGCCAAGGGGAAGAGGACAGTAGAAGGGAATTATCCAGGTAAGTACACAAAACCCCATGTCATTGTCCTGAATGTTACATGGCTTACCATTTACACTGATCACCTTCACAGACTGTCTTGTCCCTTTGCTGTGTGGAATTAGATTTAAAATAGCAACAGCCAAAATTTGCTAGCTAATAGACTAAAAGGGAAACCTAAGTCACTTTAGAATTAATTCAAATTAATTCGTAGCTAATTTCAGCTCAACTGTCTGCAGTTTTGATTCTTGCTTCTACAACATTATAACTTCAGTTATATTTTCTGCTTATTCTGAGGGACAAGGGAGATTAAAACATATAAGTTGGGGGTACATTATTAAAGAAAATAAAGCTCTTACTATAAAGAAAAACTTGCATAGCATTTTATACCTAAACTCTTACAAAGAAGACACATCACAGTTCTATTTTGTTAAAAGTGAGAGAGAGAGAGAGAAAGCGAAAATGATTGTGACATTAACTTCATAGGTCCCTAAAAAATGGCCAGCGGTAAAGGAAATATGCAACATAGGATGAAATCTGATTTTATAAGGAATTTTCCAAGGGTGTGTGTATTTTAGATAATGTATGCGATCGATAGCCCTTCTACATCTAAGGGATGAAAAGGAGTAAATTATACATACTTTGTGAAGATGGGCATTGCTTCAAAAATATCTAGAATTAAACACAGACATCCCTCCCTTCCCTGTGCCCTCTGCTGTATGCCCCACTCTGCCAAGATTAGGGGAACAAGCTCACACTCCCTGACTTGTTCATTTTTCATGTTATCCTGTTAATAAAAGATTGATCATCCCTCCATGATTCCCAAACAAGAGGGACATCCAAGACTGAAAATGAATAAATGGAATTTCAAAACTGGAACAGGGTCAAAGTCAGTTCAAAGTGGAAGCTCAGTATTGCTTTAAAAAAAAAAATCATCCAGCTTTGATGTGTCCCCATAGAATTATTAACACTGAAAATTAGTATACATTTAAAAGTGTTTAAGTATATATGGATATTTTGTTCAACCAAAACTGTCATCTAAAATTTTCTTTCAAATTTTAAGCAGAGTGGGAAAAAAAATCAAACAAATGTAGCATAAATAGCTAATTACGAAAATATATGTGAGGTGATTGGAAGACAAATTTGCGAGGGGATAAAGGTATTAATTCAAGCTATTTCAACATGATACGTGTTAACACAGTCATTTGATAAAGTATAGCAGAACCGCTCATGACTTGTTTTTGTCTAAATGGTATCAATAGTTTTTAAATAACAAGTTCAGTATATTCCAAACACTAACCTCTTGTTGGTCTAAATATCATGTTGACATAGCTGCAGTGAATCTACCCAAATAATTCTCATTATCAAAAATAATTCCATTCAATATAATTCTTCCCATTATTTTATTAGCCTCTTCTAAAAAAGTATTCTAGAATATATCTCTGTTGAATGTGATTCAACCTGACATATTATTTGAATAGTAACACTTTTAAAGGGAGTTTTCTTGCTGGAACATCCTACCTGTCCCTGCAGATGACTGAAATCAGACTCAAGTCTCTAACTCTGTTATCATATAGGGTCAGGGAAGCATGAGGAGTGATTTTTAAGCTCCCGGTCAGAAAGCCAACACCCAAGTTTGAAGTTCTTTTCCAAAATGTCATTTGCTGGGTACTGCCGGGTTGGGTTAACTTATCTTACAGGAACGGGCTTCCTCATGATGCTTTTCTCTATTTCCTGCTTTGGGTCAACTCAGGGTTAACTACCTCCTTTCTTCTATTTCGAGATTTTTAACTTGTCTTCCAGACTAGGAAGGGCAGAAATAGCATGAAGGTATCTGGGCCATTTCTTGTTTCACCCCCATCACTTAGCCTAACCTGATGAGCTCTTCTAATCTGCCCTTTCATCTAACCACTGACCGACCGTAAGAAAGGAATTTACTCTGACAGCTTTCACAGCAAAAATGGTTAATGTGCCTCATGAGGAAGAATCACTCCGTCTTTTGCCTTGGCGTTGGGTTCTCCTTGTACAACCCTGTACAGTACTTCAGCGACTATTTTTTTTTTTTTTAAGATTTAAAAAGCAAAGAGTTACAAAACGGTTTGTAATTAACTTGAAATAGAAAAGATAGCACTTTTTTTTTTTTAAATCCCATTATATAGTACACCGTATAAATTACAGAGTATTCAAATGCACAAATGCATCTGGGTAACATTTATCAAATGTAATTCGCGTGTCTCTAGGTGCGCACACGTGTGTGTCTGGACAGTCTCACCGTCCGCCTTCCTGACGCCGGGGCTCTGGCTGTCACGTGTGGCAGTGCTCCAGATCTGGAACGCCGCTGTTGCAGTATCGCATGTTGTTGGCGATATGGCAGTCTGTGTAATTAATGCCCCCATTCGGGGTGTAAATGGGCTGCAGTCTGAAATCTCCTTTAAGGAGCTGATCGTTATTTAAGGAGACGATCTGAAAGCTGGTTTCGGTCATCTCCAGGATGGAATTGTCCTTCTTGGTGCCGGCCTCGCAATAGTCATCTTTCCGCCGACCTCGGTTGTACTTCCACTTCTGGGACGTGTAGCGTCCCTTTTTGTGCATGCGCCAGCAAAACACGCTGAGCAAGACCACGAGCACGAATATCACTGCCCCCCCGATCAGGCCGGCCAGCAGAAAAGGGGAGCCCATGCTGTGGGAAGTCGTCTGCTCGTGGCTGGAAGCCGTGTTGCTGCCGTTGTTCAAATAGGAGGCGTGGGTGGTGGCCTCAGAGCAAATGGTATCTTCCACAGCTCGGTAGTTAAAAGCATCCAGGGGCACCAAACAAATCCGGTAGGTGGATCTGGGCTCTAGGTTCACCAGGCTCAAGTGCTGCTTCTCACCGCTGACGATGCGTTCCTGGACGATGCCGCCCACCAAACTGTGGCCCATTTTCACCCACGTGAGTTTGTATGCCATCACCGTGAAGAGAGAGAGCCAGCTGACTTGGATGGACGTGTCGTTCACAAAATGGATAGAGAGCTGGATCCGTTCAGAAATTGGCGGGGTTGCTCTTTCCCGGCCGTCCCAGTCAGGAATGGTGGGCAGTCGGGAGGTGGTGGGAGTCAGGGGGGTATCACTTCTGCTGGGGGTTGGGGCAGAGAGGGTGGGGGGCTGAGTCGTTGGAGAGGCTGTACTTGGGGCCGGGGTGAAGACAGGCAGCCCAGGGGTCGTGGTGGGGCACGACAGAAGATTCATATTCAGCTCCCTGACGGCCATCCCCCGGACTTGCTCAGGCCCCTGGCACATGAAACCTCGCACGTTGAGAGATGAAGGGATGTATCTGAGCCATTCTGTGACCCATTTAATGCTGCAGTCACAAAACCAGGGGTTATTCCGAGCAGTGAGCTGCTTCAGGTTGGAGAGATTATCAAAGACCCCTTGAGTCAACACACGCAGCTGGTTGTTGGATATATCCAGCCGTTCCAGCTTGCGCAGCTTTGAGAAGGCTGTCAGAGGGATGTGGTTGATCTGGTTGTCCTGCAGGTAGAGCTTGATCAGATGTGTACCTGGGAGATCGGGAGGGGGATGGGAGAGGGAATTCCGCACGATGGAAAATTCCTTGAGCTTGGTGAGGTGGCTGAAGGTGCCCTCGGCGATGCCCTTGTTGGTCAGGAGGTTGCCATCCACGATCAGACGCTCCAAGCTTGTGAGGTTCTGAAAGGCCATGTCTGATATGACAGCGATTCGATTTTCATCCACTCTCAGCTCTTGCAAATCCACAGGAAGCCCCACAGGCACACTGCTCAGGTGATTCTTGGATAGAAACAACAGTTTGAGGCTAATAGCCTCCCGGAAGGCCCCGTCCTCCACCCCCACCGTGGATATCGAGTTGTCATCCAAGTGAAGCTCCTCGAGCTTCAAGAGCTGGGCCAGAGCAGCCCTTGAAATAGTCTGAATGTTGTTTTCCTGCAAATGGAGAACTCTGACATTCTTGGGAAGGTTCATGGGGAATTCATCCAGTTGGTTGCCATAAAGGTAGACCGTGTGCACGGACCGGACATTGTGCAGTTCTGCAGGAAATCCAGCATTATTAATTTGGTTGTTGTGGAGGTAGAGTACGGTTACGCCCTCCGGGATCCCAAGAGGCACTGAGGTCAAGCTTCGCTCATTACAGTAGACAAAGTTCCTATCGCAGCGGCACACGCTAGGGCACGCTAAGATTTCTGACACTTGTGAGTAGAGCCCCAAGGAGATAAGAAGCCAAGATTTCAGGAAAAAAGCCCCATGGTTGGGCCACTGTGTGGTCTGTAGGCCCATTTCTGAAGTACAGAAACAAAATACAAGGTGGTAGGGAAACTAAAAAGAGAAGAAACAAAAAATTATGTGTATATATATATATATATAGCAAAACAAAAGTGATTGGACAGGGTTCTGTTAAAGTCCAGAACTCCAAGTAGAGGAAAAGTCTTGAAGGCCTGTGGTAAAAGAATTCTCCTATGGTCTCTGGTCTTATCAGCCTGTGTTGTCTTCTTTGTTATTGTCCTCCATGTGAAAAAAAAAAAAAAAAGAAAAAAAAAAAAGAAAAAATTCAATAGGGAGAATTTTCACACACAGGCAATGAGTGAAGCCAAGTTTTCAGCGGTCACCAGTGGCCCAGCTGGGCAGGCAGAACTGGAACTCCCTTCTCGTATTGTAGATCAGGTCAGCGTTGATCAGACTCTGAACTTCTTGGTCAAGCTCAATCTGCAACCTGTTGTAGGAAAGCAAAGAGAAAAAAGTCAGCTAAGGTCCTAATGGATGAAGGGCTAATCTGATTCTTTGCCCTTCAAGAGCTGGGACCAAGTGACCAGGAGAAGCAGGAGCTGGCTTAAAGTGATGTTTTAAGTAACAATAATTTGGTTGAAAAGGTATTCAAGAAAGGAACATGATTCAACGTTGCCTCTCACCCTCAGGGGTCATCCTGTGAAATTTACATCCCCATCAGTACCTTCTCTTACAAATCCATTTGCATAACCAAATAGAAAAGAACAAGGCTCACTGTTGCATACAGTGAATTAATCCTAAGGATCACCTGCAAATCCAACTGGTCACATCTTGTTTCAAGACGGCACAAGTGACTGCGTAATTCATACAATTTGAGGGCAAACACACGAAACCCTTTCTAGTTATAAATAAACAAAGGCAAGATAGGGACTGATGAAGTCCTTTAAAAAGATGTGTCCTTTTGATATGATGCTAAATGAAGTAAAGGCAGAGAAAGTAAGATACCGTATGATCACTCATATGTGTAATTTAAGAAATAAAATAGATGAACATTGGGGAAGGGAAGGAAAATGAAACAGGAGGAAAACTGAGGGGGAGGCAAAACATGAAAAATGCTGAAGTCTAGGAAACAAACAAGGTTACAGGACGGGATGTGGGTGGGGTGATGGCATAACTGGGCGGTGGGCATTAAGGAGGGCACGTAATGGAAAGAGCACTGGGTATTATATGCAGTTGATGGATCACTAAATTCTACCTCTGAAACTAATTTAAAAAATAAAATAAAATAAAAAGATGTGTCCTTTTGATCTGACACTGTGAGGGAGAGGGATAAAAGTAACACACAGAAGCATGCATGAAGGCAGAGAGAAGATTTCTCTCTTCTTCCCCACTTTCTGCCTCTTTTCATCTTCGCCCTTTTTCAAAATTGTTTACGCTTGAGTTACCAAGGAGAACGGCTAGGCTCCAGTCCATGATAACGTTTCTATTTATTCCCCCTTTCGGGACCTCCACGTACAGATGCCACGTACAGATGAGATACACCCTTCCAATCTCCTTGAGAGCTGCCAAGCTCATGACTGGGAATAAGTTATTTTTCAACTCTACCACCTTCCTCTCATCTGTGAGGGCTTTTTTTCTACTTTTCAAGAAGGACCTTCAGCAGACTTTGAAATGATAGCACACCCGGTTGGGGAAGTATAGGCAATACATAGATAGTAATGATGCCTTCCTGCTTTGTGTGTTCTGTCTGTTTTAAGATCAGAGAGGTAAAGCAGTTAATTGAACGGTGCCAGATTTGATTTCCTTACAAAATAAGCTAACATGACAGGACATGGCAAGCTATGAGTTTCTTAATTCTCACCAACAGACAGAAACTCAAAACAACTTATATCTAGAAGCACAGAGGAACTACTTGAAATTGTTCCCTTAGTTATCTTTAGAAACATAATTTAAAAAAGAAAAAGAAAACACTGTAAATGCTGTTTAAATGTCAAGGATATTGTAAATTTGTTCCACAAAAAAAAAAAAAATTGTGAACACCAAAAAAAAAAAAAAAAACCTGTTTCAGGTCACCAGGTCGCCTCTGGTGACCTGAAACAGCAAAATGCATGTCTTACTATTCAAAAGCTTTTAAAGGGAAAGGGGTGGGATAGGGAATGTTTGTCCAGGCAAAAACTGCCTGCACTATGATACTGCATGTAAAAACCAAACATAATTTAATTTGTTAAGACTTAAAAATGTACGTTTCACCACTAGACAGGAGCCATCCCCCTGCTCCAGCAAAAATCTCCCTATCTGCTTAAAAAATAATTTATAATACAAATGGGATAGTACAGGAAAAATGAGTTTAATGTCATCAGCCTGATGTCATCCTTAGCTCAGATTTCAAATTTTAAAACCATCTCAGTGTTCCCCAATAGCTTGCTATTCGAAGGTGATCCTGGTCCAGGAATGTGAACTCAAGCTGGGAAGTTGTTGGAAAAGCAGAATCTGCATGTTAGCAAAAACCTAGGATGTGCACGTTAACATCTGAGAGGCATTCCCCTAAACACAGTAACATCTTATTTAGTCATTCAAACGTTTTATTTTATTAACTATAAAACAAATGCAAGAGCATATCAAATAACTCTTAAGGAAGAATAAAAGCATAAGGCATATTGATCACTTTGGTCCTCAGGAGATAGTCTCAAATTGTTTCTTCTACATAAATGACATCTTGTAGAAGGAGTAGTGCAATGACATACCATACACTGGCCTCAACATACACTTGAAAATGTATGTCTGAGTGACAAGCACTAATGCCCAGTAGAAGCTTAAAAAGTTTTTTTGTAATCATGGAAGCCCACTTGATACAGCAGGATTTATTTAAGAACAAACATTTGTTTGGTGCCATTAGCATTTACTCTTCACAGGAGGTAGGAAAGTGAGACCCATAGAACAGAACCTAACCCAGTTCTGAGTATTCCACAGGAATCTTCGACATGGGATGCCAGCACAGAATAAATAGAATCTTCGAAGAGAGAAAAACAGCTGCTCCAGAGTTCTAAGTTCCTAAGCAAAAAGAATGGATGTTTCTTAACTATGTTTATAGCCAAGTTTTAGGGCCCTGGAAACAAAGAACTAGTACTTGAGGATGATCTAATTTACTTAGAAAAGTCATCACGTGACAACCACAAAGCAATAATCACTGGGAGGTAACAAAGTACTCGGGTTTTGGACCTGGAAACTATCATGCTCCCAAATTACACATTTTCCATTTGTCTGCACCTCGTCTTCTGTACGGAAGGGGAAAAGCCCCATCCCCCTCACCATTTGCCCCAGGCCTTGCTCTCTTGCTGACAGACTCTACTTAGGAGTGCTTCTTTTGTAATTATGTAAGAGGAGGATGTGGTCCTGAAGAAATCCTCTAATAGGATTACTTCGGACAAACTGTCATGGTTTATCCACCTTAACAGAAGAAAAGTCCCATCAAGATCACAATACGTTGATCAGCTATGACAACTTCAGTTCTGAATGAAAACAAACTCTCAGGGTTTTCTTTGAATTTCTTGAGAATCCCACAAAATTACAGCAAACAGCAGATTTGTTGTAATCCTTGCATCGATGACAGCCTAAATATGTCAGTCAATATACTGTATCTTTGTTCAAATTAGTGCAAGTGTAAAATTACAAACATCTCGGCAATAATGACTTTTTTTTTTTTTCATTGAAGTAGGCTAAAATTTCTTCTATATTTTCAGGCTAATTCGTATGTAATACTGAGAGCAGAAATGCTTTCAGACCTTAAGCTGGAGACTCTATTCATAAAAGAAAGATGGGATCCAGAGGGAGACAAAGTATAGGAGACTCTTAATCTCAGGAACAAACTGACGGTTGCTGGGGAGTGGGGGATAGAGATGGGGGGCTGGGTTATGGACATTGGGGAGAGTACGTACAATGGTGAGTGCTGTGAATTGTGTAAGACTGATGTTTCATAGACCTGTACACCTGAAGCAAATCATACATTATATGTTAATTTAAGAAAAAAAAATAAGAAAAATAAAGGGAGAAAGAAAAAAAAAAGGAAAAAAGAAAGCCTTATAGTAGAATGGTCAAACGCATAACCCCCCAGTTCTTGTCCCACTCCTGACAAGGAATAGCCTCAGGATCTTGACCTTTGACACCTTCCTTCCCTCACCTGAAAGATTAGGATAATAAATAGCTCCTATCTCATAGTATTCTTGAGAAAATTAAATAGGATAGTATTTGCAGAAAGCTTTCATGATGTCTGACACAGGCAAGAACATAATAAATAGAAACTATTATTCTCTCCCTAATTATGATTATTTATGTTGTCCAAAGAGGTAAACTCCAACATGTACTGCAAAATAAAATCACCTTGAACCTGCTAAGTTCTATGCCTTTCCATATACTCCAGAATTTCTCAACCTCAGCACTATTGACATTTTGGGCTGGATAATACTGTGTGAGGCTGCCATGAACATCCAAAAATGTTTCCAGTCACACTGTCCCATGGGGTGACAAAATCACCCCCAGTTACGAACCACTGACCCACAGCATCTTATAAGTGCCTTAGAAGATTAGCATTATTATTCTAATTTTATAGAAGAAATTGAGCATAGATTTCTAATAAATAGAAGCTAAAAATGCTTCTTGTAATGGACACCAAAAAAACCCATGAAAATGTAACATGTTTTTCATTCATTTATTCAACCAATATTTCTTGGGCACTAGAATGAGAATACAGTCTGAGGCGGAGCTAATGTGGGTTTTGGCTTCATGTGCTTGACTAAAGTCAGTGAGGGGAGAGAAATTAATAAGCAGGGAATTACGGTACTGTGTAAAGTATCCCACTCTTAGGGTATCAGAGAATTACGGTACTGCATAAAGAGCTCTAACCTAGTCCCTGGGGTATCTGGAAAAACGCTGCAGGACAGAGATCGTCTATGTGCTGGTCTGAAGGCTAAAAAGTTGCAAGCAAGGGAAGAGATTCCAGAAGTTCTGCACATGGACCCAAGCTGGTTGTAACAGGGATCAAAAGGTGAAAGCCAGTCCAGCCGAGAGAAGAAATAGAACTTGGACAGCACGTTCTCCCAACTCTGCCTGCTTCTCACTTGAGGAGTCTCACTTCCAGAAGCTAATAAACAAACCTGTGTTTCAAGTTCACTGGCCATTTCCATTTATAAGTCTCTAAATAATTGGGAATAAAAGATTTTGCTTACAAGATGAGTTTCAAATATTGAGGGCAAAAATTATTTTTTGTTTGGTTGGTTTTGTTTCTCCTTTCCTATTTGTTTGAATATTGCACTGAATATGCTTCCTTTCCAGGAAAACTAGAGATTGTAAAGAATGGTTTAATGGAAGGTGCTAAGGAAAAACAGGAATTTTCACTGAAAATAGAAAACACAGTTTCCAAAGGCTGAGTATAAATCAACATGGAACAGATGCTCTTTGGAGACTCCAAGAACCTGGCCCTGCCATTCTGTT